AGGCTCAGGCTCTGAGGGACAACTCCACCATGGGCTACATGGCTGCGAAGAAGCACCTTGAGATCAACACTGACCACCCCATCGTGGAGACCCTGAGGCAGAAGGCAGAGGCCGACAAGAACGACAAGTCTGTGAAGGACCTGGTCATCCTGCTCTTTGAGACGGCCCTGCTCTCTTCAGGGTTCACCCTGGATGAACCGCAGACCCACTCCAACCGCATCTACAGAATGATCAAGCTGGGTCTTGGTGAGTATCTGTGTCCGTTGACGCAATCTAAAGCCTCCATGACATTTTTATCGATACTTCTTGCACATTTATGAGCTGTAAATTATTGCAGTGAGATATTTTTACTGTGCAACACATCTGGCAATAATGATTTAAAATATATAATGGCTTACTTCCTATTTTTTAAGGTATTGATGAAGATGATCTGACACCAGAGGACGTCATCTGTGCTCCCACTGAGGACATGCCCCCTCTTGAAGGGGATGATGACGACACATCCAGGATGGAGGAGGTGGACTAGGCCTGTTTCTACGGCCTGCTGGTGTTCAGAAGTAGTGTTATATAAAAGTTAAAGATGAATGTTGTAAATCTGCCTGGGAATACTCTACCCTCAACCCTCTTTTTGACCAAATTCACGTTATTTCCCCTTACATTTACCGGATGCAGTTCAGATTCATTCCTTTAGAACTTTATTTTTTAAGTTGTCACTTTTTGTAACTTGGGTTTTATCAATGCATTTGTTTTGTATTTATTGACATTCCAATGTCCTTTGTGTTCTTACTGTAACTGTAAATAAAGCAAAATTGATACTGTTATTTCAAATGGGTGGGACCCAAAAATAAAGGTTAACCATGTTAACAAGAACCTCACTGATTCTCTGAGAAGTTTAGAGCACAGGGAGAGTGTAAAAACAATTCATAAGGGTATAAAAATTACAGCCAGTGGCAGGAAATATGTATACATTCAGTTAAATCAGTTGAGTGAAATCAGCATTGTCTTTATGAACCTAACTCGCATATGACGTATCCATTAGCTGTCTACTACAGCAGCTGATATGTGTCGCCATTGAGTGTCGGTCTTCCTCACCTCAAATTTATTTATCTGAGTTCATAACAAACATATCAATGCATTGCTGGAAGGAATGAAAATAACATAAATAATTGGATGTCCTCAAGGCGTTCAGGTAACATGAGAGGATATGCAACGTGGGCTTGTGAAATGGAGCATTTGCACTCTAAATTGAGCAGAGATCTCAGGGTTGACTCCACACAGGACTAATGGACAGGATTGCAAAGGAGTGTTCAAGGACATGAACAGTAGCTCATGAAACATGTCACAATACTGATGCTGTTTTCTTCAGATTGTAGCCATTGGGACATGGATCTTGCCAACAACTTGAACCGAATCAAAATAACCTCTAGAGGAGGAGGAATATGTTCTTTAAAGGACATTGCCTCACCAAATCATTCTCATAGGACAGCAGCAGGCTCGTCATAGGAGGAAGAGCACAGGTGTAGCTAATACCCTTAACGATGGCTCTGCTCTCTTCAGTGAGCCATCATGCACACTTCATTCAGGCATAATTCATTTGATCACTTACGCTTGTGCTTTTCCCTACTCTGACACGTCAATATTGAGTGAAAAGGGCCTATTACAAAGGGCAGGGCATATTAACATATTGACAGAGACAAAAAAAACGAAGGGGGGAAACTGTAATTGATGAATACATTTAGAGGGCAAAATAGACATTGTAGGAGACAGTACAATTCCAGTAGATGGCAGTAATACAACAAAGAATGTGAGCTGCTATACAGTCTGTGGCTGCGACAAGCAAAAAGAAGGCTCTGCCAAGCTCTTTACATATTTTAGAAAATGTAGGAATAGGAAGGTTTACCAGCCCCAGTGAAAGAGATCGGCTGAACATGCGTTAGAGGAATGTGAGAGATATTCAACAAAGAACACACAACATTCATTATACACTAAAAATAGAACACACATAAATTGCCAAAAGTGACATTTTTAGAAGAACATGATTAAGCGTGCTGTCTCGCTCGTTGTAATAGCTACCTGTCACCGACAGGGGGAGCTCCCACTGACCCGCAGTGCTCGGCGTGTCGCTCCTGAGACGCTGGAGTCAGCTGACTAACAGCAGCCAATCACAGGGCGAGGACAGGCTGAAGCGTTTCAGCTCGCTGCCCTGAGAGTTATCAAGGTTTTTTTTGGGGTTGTGGAATATCTCCGAGAGGGGAGCAAGGGCGGCAACGGGTAGTACAATGCCGAATAAAACGAAAAAAGAAAAGGTGAGTTTGAGAACAGCCAAGAGGATATGACGGCTGGAAATATACAGTTGTGCAGTATGTATTTATTGATAAACCGGCATTTATAACGAGACATTTAATATAGTTATCAGTGCAGAGTGCACGTCCCATTAACGTTAGCAAACCGGCTAGCCGCTATTCTGCAGACATGTTAGCATTGTGCTGCCTTGCTATAAATAAGGCAATATGATATACTTTGCATGCATATGCTTATGGTGATTTGTGAGTGTTTTAAAGTGTTGAGTCAGAACTAAATATCATTAACGTTAGCTGTAAGCCGGCTATTGACTCTGAAGTAACGTTAGCCTGCTAGCAGCAGACATGCCAGTGCATTCAAACCAAACAGGATTGTGAGACTGGGTGGGTATGCATGCTATATTTAGCTTGGATTTTTTTTTTTTTTTTTTTTTTTTTTTTTTTTGCATGGCGGCATTCACTGATGGACTGCTTTACAAATGTTGTCCACCTTGCCTTGTGTATTAACCGAGCAACGTTTTTCTTGCAGGAGTCCCAAAAGTCTGGTAAAGTGGGCAAGAGTGGAGGACAAGAGAATTCAGAGCATGAGGTAACTGAAGGGTTAACAGGCATGGTTTTTATGGAAAACACAAGTTCAAATTGTCACTGATATTAGAGCTTGAAAATGGACTGCGACATAATGAACATTATCGGTGTCCATTACTGTCCTTTGCAGACTGTTAACATGTCACGGTATGCTTTAAAAATGACACTTTAATTCACTATTCACACACTTTTCAAATATTTTCTAATATTGCTATCATGTGCAATTTCTGATATTTTGCAATATACTGTAAATGTTGTAAATGCATGCCTTTTGTGTACATTAGCACCTATAATCCTGGAGACAGAGAAACTGCCGATCAGAATTGTAAAGCTAGCTAGATGAGCAAATCATTGATTTGAGCTAGCGGTATGTGTCACCTAGTGAGATACTATTGTCCTTGAAACGTGGCAGCATAGCATGAGGCAATCAATATACTACTTCCAAGGAGACTGTAAAGTCATTGTCATATCAGCGTTTAATGTGGCAAGGAGACTAGATTCTAATCAACAAAAGTGATCAAATTGCACTGGCAAAAAGGACTGGTAATCTTTACTTCACCGAAAAGGAAAACGCTCTACTTCCCACTGTGGTCAGACGTGAATCGACACCACTGTCATAAACTCTTATCAAAAGATAATGCACCAATCTACATATCCTGTCATGTGTAATAAATCAGTGGTACTGGTCTGACTGGCCTTTGACTTTTTTACTTGCGTCTGGATTGGGTCACATCTGGAAGAGCGAAAGGGGGTTTCTTCAGCCCACATTAGACACATTGTGTTGGTCCTGCCATAGCAGAGGCATCTGGTGTGAGTCATCACGTCACATTACTGCACCGCATGGTCCTGAACTGTATTTGTAAAATACTATGAGGGTGTCCAATGGTACCAGGTGCACAGTATGGGTTCAAACACAAAGATAAAATGCATCTGTGAACCAAAAAAAACAAACGGATTTACGTCAGACTTCTTCCATGACCTCTGCAATCACCATATCAACATCACTCAGCCATGATGGAAATAGTTCTCCTTGATGCTTTTCTATTTCACGGGAGTTCAAAAAGCTCGATGCTCTCTTTTCACGGCTGGTGTGACGGCCGACATCTGTTTGTGCAGGAAAGTACAAAGCAAAGTGGTGTCCTCCTCGTTCCTGGACATTTAATATTTATATTGGGAGGGCTGTTGACCACCTGTTCGTATTTGAGTGGCTGATGTAATACACAGTCCAGTTTGTTGTAATATAAAAATGCACACTACAAGGAGTTAGCTGCTTAGTGTCCCATTTAAAATACACATTTTATTTAAATATCACTCTAATCTGTTGCCCAAAACCTATATTTCTATCCTCTGACTTATTGCCATTAAGTTATGAATAATATAGAAACATGTTCCCCTACTGTCGACTTTCTGAATTCTTCTTTTTCAGCCTCTTGGCTGCCTCTTGCTGGGTAATGGCAACCAATAACATGGCTGTTGTGTTTCAGCAGCCATGCGGCAGATCTACCACTGCCCCGACCTTGTGTCAAATTTAAAATTGCTGGGCTGCAAGCTGCCGTCGTTACCCCCCCCCCCCTCCCTTTTGCCTCACACACTTGGTCACCAGAAGTGTTCGAGACTGAAAGGAATGTTTTATAATGCTTAAAGAAATCTCCTTTTTCTGTCTTGGTACCAATTATATCAGCATTTAATTAGAAAATCCTAGTTGACAGATGTTTCTGCTTTTGGCTTAATGAACTTACAAGTAGAAGAGTTAATTCCTATCTTTATGTTACATGAATACATAATCTAGTTCCTAGTAGAGGCCAGCGCAGCTGTATTACCTACTTTACTGGACAGCCTGCTCGTGGCCCAGCTCTTAAGCTCCCGTCTTGTAGCGCTGCAGACTGTGACTAACTATAGCTGGGTCTTAACTGAATTGAATAATTCCCCTGTGACTCAGACTTACACAGCTCCACGTCTGGTGAAGTAAGCACTTTGCCATCAGGTGTGTGGATGTGGATACCCAGCAGGCAGGTGAGAACCACATCAGGATTATATCCAGCCCTCCAAACTACAAAACCCTCTTTTTCTTTTTCTTTTTTTTTTTTTTATAAATTCAACTGAGACACAGCCGGGTGGTTTGAGGAAAACACACCCACACATGTTGGGTAAAGTGTCACAGGTTTATGGCCTTAGTTGTATAATGAAAGACACTGTCGTGTGTATAATTAAAATGTCCCATGTAGTGTATGGCAGCCAGTCACGTGTTTTTTATCAGATTCCCGACGAGGTACTTGCGCCCTCTTTCACCCCGTGTCCACCACATGTCATGTTGGTGTCACTGATGTGGCTTTTTCTCTTGTTTCAGCAGAGCTCTAACAGGAAGGCCAGCAATAATGTTCCTCCTACCACTCAGCTGCTTAAAGGGAAGCAGCCCGGTTCCCAGACACCTGTCAAAAAGGACAAGAGGCAGAGCTCCTCCCGCTTCAGCCTGAGCAACAACCGGGAGCTGCAGAAACTGCCTGCTTTCAAAGGTATTTACTGGTAAAACCACTAAAGGCTGTTATCTAATCACTTATTAATCAAACTACCCAGTGCTCTAGGTTTCTTTTTAGTTGTTGCACATGCATACACACGCATACAAGTGCATCTATCAGAGCTGCTCTGCCAGGCTGGGAGGTTTGGCACTTAGTTGTGGATTTCTAGACAATTAGCCTTTTTGTAGGTAAAAAAAAAAAATTAATTTAAGATGTTTTGAAACCTGATGTCAAAACTCAAATCCCCGTCATCTTGACACTGATAAGTGCAAGCCTTGCATACATGCATACCTACAGTCAAGCATACACTTTTAGTGTTAGTATTTTCTTTCCACACTGAAACATCGATGAACATCCCCGGCTGCATCACGCTCATTGTGATACCAGGCTGAGCATGACATTACGCAACGCATGGAAACAAACAGAGGGCGTACATGGCATGGACTTTGTGCTGGATTTGACCCAAGCGTCTATATTTAGTGGTAATCCAGAGATAAAGCTTTAATTCCATGGTCCTTGTGTTTTAGGATGTTGCCAGTGTCCAGCGGTATCTGCCAGCCACACTACTATTCCTTCTCTATTCCTCCCTTTGCAGGAGAGATATTGACGAATCTTTGCAGATTTGTATTGACGTTTGTTTTAATTACTGAGCTCGGTACCAGCAGAGCACCAGATGGAAAAGTAAGGAGTGGGCATTGCCGTCAGGCCTGCGGGCATACTGTCTATGCATGTGTCTGTGTGTGCATGCATGAATACACACAACAATGTTGTCTGCTGCCCTCTCCCAGTGCCATCCTTATATAACCTGGCAGTGTACTGAAAACAAACCACCGTACATGCATTATTAAGTATGTGGGAAAATCAACATTTTATAAAGAGATTTCCATCTTTTTAATAAACAGAATTTGCAGATGAGAGTGGAAATAAGATTGACCGCATGAGAGTCGGCTAGTCTGTGGGATGCAATAAATAGTTCAATGTCTGGGAATTATCAAACCTCATAAAATATGGTGAAAAAAACCCCCAAAAGCATGGTAGTGTGGCATAATTGAAAAGAAGTTAAAAGCCTTTTAGTAGCAACTGAAATATTCCCGATGACTATACATCTTACAAAGTTGTTAAAGTGTTGCCTGCCTGGCAGTCACAGAGAGGAGACGGACTAAATTATACATCTCTCAAAGGCCGACATTGTTTTGATATTTAAATTGTTTAGTTAACACGGCAATGACATGTCTCCAGGGGGATTGTATTGACTTCAATCTCATTGTTTCGTACAATAAATAAGTATGTGTTGCTATATGTGGATTGGAAATGATTACATGAATGTCAGAAGTTATGATACAACTTCTCCCCTTCTAAAGAGAGACAAGTTCACCTGAGAGAGCTGACTAAATGAAGGCCTTAATATGAGTTTATGTATTCTTCAGAAAAAGAGTGCCTTTGTTTTGTTTTCCTTCCTCGTACTTGAAGTCACTTACAAAGTGGAGTTCCTATCTGTGACCAGCAGCTGTTGTGTTTATCGTGTGCCATTTGTTCACCATTCAGTCTTGTGTGATTTATAATTAATGGAGACACACAATGGAGTTGATTCTACTACAAAACACACCTGTTCCTTAATCTTGGTGAGCCATTACCCTCGTACTGTGTCAAGAAAGGACTAAACACGACTTAATGTCTGATGAAGGAGCTCTTTTCCCACGACCCAACGGGAGCTTTGACAACATTCTGCAAAACATTATCCCACAGCGGCCCGGTAGATGTTATCACCGAGTCCTGTCCAAAGGGGCTCGGCCTGTTTTCGCTCCGTGCGTGTTCACCACCTCCTGATGGAAACGCGTGTCCGAGAGCAGCCTGTCCCGCAGAGCTTCGAGGTTGAGGCGAGACTGAAAAACCCTGACCAGAAGCGGGTCCCATGAACTCGCCTCCAACCCAAGTGTGCTTGTTGTGACATGGGTACATTTTAACGGTCCCAGCATTTACATTCAGCAGCTTCCTCTTAAAGACCTGATATGGTGAGCTTGTTTTATTAGGCCCTACCAAAGTACAAAGATCATGGAATTTGTGTTTTGGATAAAAAGTTTTATTTCTCTCGTGTCAAGTCCAAACAGACTTGCCAAAAACGAGCAGAACACCAGTTGTTGCCTCTGTATGTGTTCTCGTTTAAAGCTTTCCTGCATGAAGCATCTGTCTCTGAGGGTTTGTTGCCATCTGCTGGTTAGTCAAGTATTTGAGTTAATGTTGATTAACTGGAACAAACATTTCAGTTGTCAGGATGTAATATTGTCCTCAACCAGAGAAAGATGAAAATATAGTTTCTACAGTCTTCATTTGAGGGAATACTAAAGGAAGCCATCCTTGCATAACATCAGTTACAACAGAAGTTGCATCACGTACTCTTGAAACTTTAGCCCGTGAGTGTACTATAGTGTCTGCTTATGTGTCGCCTACAGAGTCAAACCTATTGGGCAAGAATGCTTCATGTTGATCTAAAATGTAAAGTTCTTTGTGTACATTTTCATTTTTACAGGTTGTTTTTTAAACAGCCAGGGTGGAATTTTCTTTCAACATTGTGGGCAAAGGCATGAAGCAGGATGCCGCAGGGCAAGGCAGGTTTCAGGGAAGGGTTTCCTGGCTCTAGCCCTCCTGCAGGTGCTAAAGGAAAAAACTCCCACACCTCATGACAGCAACTTCCTTTTTCAAACATCCCCCCCCCAAAAAAAAAACCTAGTTCACTAGCTTCGATCAGCTGTTGAAGCTCTCATTGGTTCGGCGTGATTCAGATCTTTAGGAACAGCCTTGAGTAAGTAAATAAAGCGTTGAAGTAATCAAATAGTCTCATTGTCCCAAAATAACACCGATACATATTTCAGCTGAGAATCTGAGCAGGTTCTCCCTTTCGGTCTTAACGTGAAGGTACCACAGAGCAGCTATAACCAACATGACGTCTCTCGTTTGAGTAGATGGGACTTTCCACCACTGGAAGCTGCTTTTGTCTGTGACCACGACATTGAAGATCAGGAGATCTGTAAATAAACCACTCGACTGTGGCTGTCCCGCTGAATTTGGAACACAAGCAAATACAGTCTCCATCCTATCCAGGACCGGACTCATGATGCCTCACAAGTTCACCGTCTCTGCCTCTGCCAGAAAAAGCACGGACGCAGCGTAAAAACCTCACGCTCATGAATGGATGCATGTGCAAGAAGAGGATCTGTAACAAGTGGGAGTGTTTAGCGTTGTCTTGGTCAGAACAACAAATCTTCTGATGGGAGGTTGCCTCATGACTAGGGAGCCGAAAGGCAAGAAAGAGCCCTTTATACACTCCGACTAGACCCTGCTGCTGCTGAAATACACCACTGTTGTATACAGTAGCACCAGCGAGACTTGATGTTCTTTTGCGCTGCTAATTTGTGTTGGAGACTAGATCATTATGCTGGGGGAAAGGGCATGTTCTCATTCCCATCAGTGTAGCCCAACAGTTTTTTTTTTTAATGGCAAGAAAAATCCTATAGAGTAAGCTCGCTACGAGTTATCAAGCATTGGACGTGTGTCTCGCAAGCACTAGCCCCCCCCCCCCCAATACATATTATTATGTCAGACCAACTGTTATCTGATGTTATGCGCCTATCTGATCTTGATTAAAAGCGCAGCTCGAATACGAGTGAGAACTCGACTCTGGAACATCCAGTTGTGCAAGTTTCAGCCGTAGGGACCCACCGGGAGGAGCTGTTACACACTGTTATGTGTTAATGAATATGTTTTTTTTTACTCAAAAATGCAAAGGACACCTTCATTTTTTGGTTTTGCAGGGTGTTCATGAAGTCAATCACATTTCTCTGTGTGTGTATACGTCTGTGTGTATGCTCGCGGCCCTTGCAGCATGGTGACACACACACACGCAGTATAAACTGGGATTGGTGATGGTACGTGATGATTGGATGCACACTGTGACTTGACCTTTCTACCTAATAGAAATGTCAAGTCCTGGTTCCAGGATTCTGGAGAGCTTTCGGGTATCGAGATGAACGTGTGTTTGAATTCCACTTCGTATGTGAGTCTGGTTTAAGTGCATTTTAACGATCAGCTTTACAGTGCAGAGTTCTGCTCGTGCACATCCTGTGTCGCTTGCATCAAGACTTCCTGTTTCTCTGTCGCGTACACCTGGGCTCAGGCTGTGCTCCTGAAGAGCCATCTGTCATGCAAAAACTAACAAACACACACAAAGAAAGCACATGCATAAAAAGGGCTTTTTTGTGTTGGACAGTCAATTGTATTGAACAAACTTCAGCTTCTTGTTGATACATCTTGTAGCAGTTTTATTTGAAACAGCTCGTGGTGTGTTATTTTCCATGTTTTGAATGTTTTGCGTTGTAATTTATGTCATTTGGGGTTTGTTGTCGGGTGTTAGGCTGTGATTGAGTAATGAGTACAAACAGCCTACATGTTTGATAGGCATGTGTATTTCCTGGTCTTCTTCTTGTTACTAAATTTTAAAAAAAAGGGCTGAACTGATGGCAGATCAGTAGTTTGTGCTTTAAAAGTCTCGACAGATGTAGCTGCTCGCACTCCAATCACAGTCACAGCCCCACCTCTTCCCCCTTCGGCCCACCAGCCAATCCCTTCCCTCCTGTTTATTTATGCCGACACTCGGCCCATGTGATTGCAGCCAGCCAACCGGGTGGCTGCAGTGGGGGATGACATCACTAACTAGCTGGTTCCCTCCAGCAGCAGGGGAGCTTCATTTTCTGCTCCGAGTGTTCGTGCTAAAATGGAGGCTGGCTCCTCGCCTTAGCTCGGGCTGCCCTCTTCTCCCCCGTCTCCTGCCTCGACTCACTGATGTTGGCATGCACTAGAACTGCCAGTGGGATGGTTCTGGATGCACCCAGCACCAATGGGCCTTTCCAGCCTGTGGCCCTCATGCATTTTAGAGGTGAGAATAGGAAGATTTTCCTCCTCCTTGCTGTTGTGTGTTTGTGTTTCAAGAGGAGATGGTCAAAAAATGTCTTTGCCATTTAGCAACTGCAGTTGGATTTTGTAGAACAAAAAGTGTTTGTGTCGGATGACTTTTCTTAAAGTTGCTGCAACAGAGTGAGAGCTTTTATCCCCTGCATGTGTGTTTTTGGAAGCGGGGGAGGGGGGTTGTGTTTGTATGTCAACGAGGAAGGGTTTCGCCAAGGGTTTTGCGGAGGCAAGGCGAGAGAGAGTGAGGAGTGCTACTTTTGAGTCACCCATCCCCCATCGAGACTGCTGACGTCATAGGAAGTGAGGTCAAAAGCGTGTTGTCGGTGTGTGCATCTGTATTGTGTACGGGTATCTGGTGTCGGCTGAGACGTGTACGTTGAAATGCTCTGAGTTACTGTCTAAACACACAACCAGTGTTGTGCAGGGAAAACAGAACCTGACTAGATCAATGCTAACAGTACCTCTGAATAAGAGTTTGTGTCACAAACTCAAGGCACATGTTTGTTCATATGTTCTTTTCTTAATCCACAAACCGATGCGTCGGTGTACATTTAACATGCAGCCTATTAATGCACACATGTGCTACTAACGGTAGTCGAGGTGAATGCAGCCCCATACTAGCCACATGCCTTTGCATTGAAAGAAAGAAAGAAACCCTTTTTATTGTCATATACACGAAATTTGACCTCTGCATTTGACCCATCCCTGTATATAGGGAGCAGTGGGCTGCCAATGACAGGCGCCCGGGGAGCCGGGGGTTCAGTGTCTTGCTCAGGGACACTTTGACACGTGACACGTCCCAGTTGAGGATCGAACCGTTACCAGACAACTCTTTTAAGCCAGTGCGCCACGGACTGTACACAGAATATGTACAAAGTATTTGCCACATTTGTGGCAGTTTTATTAATCGGTTATTTATGAAATATTCACCAGTAGACATTGTGGGATTTTGAGATATGTCCTTGGGAGCAATTTGTGTCCACGCCTGGTTTCCTGTGAGCACGCTGGAGCCTTTAGATGAGCAAAGGTTAGCGGCCCATCCATGCAGAGAGGCCTGTGTGTGATGTTTGCAGTGGCACAGCATGTCTCTTAATATTTTAGGCGTATTCAGAAACCCTAGTGCTGTTGTGTAACAGGAGCTGCTAGACCTCTTGGCACTCGGGGGTGGATGAGATGAGGTGCTCATGGGTGGACCGCTCGGGTACTGATGAATGAAACCTTAATATCACCAACAGTTGATCTACAGATGACGCTGTGTTCTTGTATTGAGATCAATATGAAGAGATTTGTTTGCATTTTGACATGGACGTCATGTCTCTTCCTGTTCAGTGTCAAAAAAAATGTAGTATAAGTTTTTGCAGGTATTGTATCTGCTAGAGAGGGAGCAGGGAAATAGTACCGAAACGCACAGAAAGTAATATTTCTCTGTGGCACCAGCTCCACAGCTTAAAGTTGCAGCTTGTTAGAACGGAAGACAGAACAAAAGAATATACTTAGCTGTGCCTTACATAAACACCGTGTTGTAACATAAAGCAGATCTGAGGTTTTCCAGGAATGCGGTAGCCAAAGCTCAGGAGTGAAGCAAATCGCCAGCTGTTTGACCTTTTTGATGCGGTCGATTAGATCCCGTCTGTAGCCAGTAGTTTGGACGGAGGGAATGAAGTATGATGTTACTGCAAAGCTACTTACAGACTTGTCACTATTCTACAGTGTGTCTGAATATAGACGTAGACATGTCTTGTAACCAGTTGGCTGGACTACTTGTTCCAAGGTACCGCGCTGCACAAACGAATCATAATGGCTGATATACACTCGAAAAACAGAAAGAATATACAGTCTGCGTGTACAGAAAATACAACATGGCTTTCACAGGTGTAGCACACAGGTATGAATTATGTACCCGTACAAAATAAATAGTTCCTTTTTACGTTAATAGAATTAGTATGCAACTTTTCTTCTAGGTTACCTGTGTTTGTGGTGAACACGTGTCTGGTGCTACTTTGGGTTGGGGGTGGTGCACACTCTCAATTGGCATAACCGCCGTGGCTCTGTATGTGAGGTTACAGCAGTTTGACTTACATCATGCTCAAGCAAATCCGTGTCGGTGTAGGTTCTTGTATAAGTTGAATATTACTATCCTAACCTGTCATATGTATATGTTGTTCAGATATAACCAACCTGATGAAGGGCAGTTGCTTAATTACCTTTAGTTTATCCTTTATTTCTCGTTACATGTGCTTTTATTTTAGCTTTTAAGCTCTCCCTTTTGCATACCGACCCAAATTCCCACTATGTTTAAATCTTTTTTGCTTAATGACACATAATAGTTTCCTAACAGTAACACCGCAGCATGTTGACCTTTTTATTTTAGGTGTTGGGTGTACTGTTGACTCCCGGCTATTATCCGTGTTTTACCATGTCTGCTCGGCTGACTCGTCGCCTGGTCGCTGCTGATGGGCTCAACCAATCGGCAGCGTATGAATCCATTGTAACAGCAGCAGCGTCTTTGATTAGTCCAAAGTCCCGCCTCTGTCTGTGGTCCCCATGGTGGCGTACAGTACACGAGACTGACTCACTGTGATGAAAGAACTAATGCTGCCCTGTGGGTTGGTTTTGTAAGGTGACATTTTGCTTTAAGTCACTAATCCCCATGATGGATGAAAATGAATGGGCACCTTTGCACTTCTTTTTTGGTTTCGGGGTATTTTTGTAGCTTTGGGAATCTGACCAACTGAGGCCCAATGACTTCCAGGAGTAGCCGTCTCATACAGGAGACATTTTCTCTGCAAAGCAAAATAGTTATTCCCTTATTGAAAGCAGCATGTCCCATCGCAGTACGTGCATCATGACAGAGTTTTTGTTATTACCACTTACTCGGTATAATACACAGACTGAATATAGTGTGCGTCTTCTGTCTGGTCTTCTCAAAAAGCTGCAAGGAAATGTGTTGCCTGAGTTCTGATGACAATGAGGGAGAATATATATTTTTTTAGCATTTATTTAGAGTTATTTTTACTTGTTTATTAGCACTACGTGGCCTGGTTCCTTATGTGTCTGAAACATTCTGGGCATACGAGTTGGGAAAGCCCTCGAGTCCTCTGGGAGCAGACTTGAACAGAAATCCCTGGTGGTTCTGCATTTAGCTCCTGAGCTTCTGGTGCAGCCCACAGTATTTGAGGGGTGGGGGTGGGGGGGTGCTCAAAGTCTTTATATTTTAACACAAGCTCAAAACATACCATTTGGACATAACATTTGTGTAATTATTATATTAGTTCTATTATTTTATAATGTTTATTTGATTGCAGATAATGTTGAGGGTGATTAATGAGTCTTTGTGGCAGCTGTTGTACGGTGATGATGATGATGCACGCTGGCAGAATGCAGATTGGCTCATTGACACCGATTGTGCAGCAGCTATAAAAAAAACGTGTCGTGATTTTTGAATAGCACGTTAACGATTATACACGGACGGGTGTGGCTCAATAATAATCCTGGAGGCAGATTCGGAGCCTCTGCATCGTTGATGGAGTGAACGACGGTGTCTTTTAAAAGGCTGAATTATTGATTTATGAAGTCTTTAAATGAGGTCTCAACATGTCGCCACATGAACTCCTGTAGAAGAATGAAGCTGAATAACTCTTGAAGGAATATTGATGTATTCCTTTTAAAGCTTTTGTACAAGTCATCACAGACTGCGAGAGAGGGGAAGCAGAACAATTAATCCTGACAACAAACAAAGCTTTGAGGCATACAAGTTGGCATTATGGATGTTTTCCTAAATATGAGACTTCTATGTCTATTTACCTTGTACCTGTATCCTTTCGTGTAGTTTTGGATTACTTTAATCCAGCGTCTGACTTGTGCAGTGTCAAACTTTGTGATAGTTATACGTCGTTCTGTGCCGATAGAGTGAGGCACCATTTCTCAGATACAGCGTTAACATCTGGAATGAGTCGTTCCTGTTTCTTTCCTGTTAAAGCCGAAATCTTCTGTTAATGTCCCCTTTCCTTCCGTTTCTGTCGTGTAGATGTTCCCCCTGCCGACCAGGAGAAGCTGTTCATCCAGAAGCTGCGGCAGTGCTGCGTCCTCTTTGACTTCATCTCGGACCCGCTGAGTGACCTGAAATGGAAGGAGGTGAAGCGGGCGGCGATAAGCGAGATGGTGGAGTACGTCACCCACAACAGGAACGTCATCACCGAGCCCATCTACCCGGAGGTGGTGCACATGGTGAGCGTTTTAACCATCATACGCAGTGTACATACTCGGGTTAGCAATCCGAGTATGTACATTATTCACCTCCAGATTAAAGGTTCCTGTACGTGAGGCGAAGCAGTTGGTTTTGTTGCACGCCCGACACAGAATGTGGTATTTTCATTTCCCTCGCAGCGTGGCCTCCTCTGTGCTGATGCAGGGTGGATGTTGTTTTTAAGCTGCTGTTGCAGGCTTGTGAGTTTCACATTAGTGAGACTATTGTTTTAGAGTTGATTTTAAAGGAAGTCTTCAGGGCAGAAGTGGCGTTCAATATTGCAATATATTTTTTATTATCTTCAGTAATCATTTCATTTACATGTAATATCTTTCAAATATCTTTAATAAAGAGAGGCAGTGGCAGTTATTTTTGTGAATAATCACAGCGTGGTGAGTATTTTCAGCCACAGGTTGCCTTCTTTCTCCTTTCATCTCCTTCCTGTTATTCATTAAGAACACTAATCACATCATCACTGAGGAAGGCCGCTCATATTTTCAATTGCTGGATAACATTGTCTGTCTGGCTGTGGTTATGTTTAATAATGACGGTCACGTTGTCATGTCTCACTGAGGTAGGAAGGATTGTATGTCCTTGTCTGTGATACATTTTTGTGAATAAGCCTCGGCTGTATACTAAAATGCATGCGACCATGAAAGAGCCACATGACTCTGTTCACTGAAGCTATTGCTTTCATATTCCATTATCATCGGTAGAAGGATCTGCTGTGTGTTAACCTCGATCTCTTCCTGGTTTGGATGTGGACTTTATGTCTGTGCAATGGATGTGCTGTGGTTTCTACGGCTCTGCCAGCAATACTCGCACGTTTCAGAACCACTTTAGTCGTTATTTTTTGGCTCCCCACAGCGTTCTGCGAAACTCTCAGGAGCATCACTGACCTCGGTAAGAACCGAAAGATCTTTGACACATAAACCCAATTTATCTTCTATCCTTGAAATCATTGGTTAAGGCATTAAGTGGCCTATTTATTTATGTGGTGACTTAGTGGTGTTTGTCTAAAGATGGCCATAAGAGAGTTAAACCATACGAGGTCACTAACCCTAAATCATGTGCGGCTCCATCCTCTGCAGGTGTGAACCGGTTAAAGTTGAGCTGTAGTCCGTGTGTCTGTCACTGAGCTCCTCCTGTATATTTATTAGACGTGTGGTGACAGGTTTGCTGTCCCAAGCTAAATTCTAAAGCCTTTGATTTGAATCAAAGCTCGGCCTCAATGCCACATGGTAAGCTGCAGATAATCAAGGTGCTAATTTCCACCCGTCCTCCTCGTCGTGGCTTCATTTGATCAGTGCTGCAGAAAATGCAACAGAGCTTCCGAATCTGCATGAAAATATCCTCTTATTCCTGACGGGCCCTCTTAAAGGCACGGGCTCTTTGAAGTCCACCGACGGCTTTCATCATCAAAGTATGGAGATCGACACGACTGACATCGTATTCGTATGTTAAGGCTGTGCACGTTATTTCCTCCAGAAGCCTTGTTCTCAGGGCGTGTTTGATGCCTCTGTGTCCGAGCTTTAGAACAATATTTTGCCAGGCCTTTGGGATGACATGGCTGTGGTTGTTCCATTAGTCCCGTTCTCTGGGGGGGATGATAAGAAAGGGTTTCTGCTGAGAACATAAACACGATGGTGAGTGAGTGCGCTTTGACCTCTGCTCGACTGCACTCTGGAGGGGCCATCTTAAGTGTGCTGTCTTGAAAGTGAGAGGACTTGGAAGGAAAATGGATTGATGCTTCCCAGTGTGGGGAATAGTAACACAAGCGAAACAGGCTGCTATCTTAGATGAGCACGAGGGGGAATATTCCACCATCGATGTATATTTTCATTCATTCTTTGTCATAAAGAAAACATTTTTGAAGGCAGGTTATAACGATGCATTCACGTTGCATAACATGATTGTACCAGTGTTTGCTTTAGCATGTTTTCACTGTGATATGTGCAATAAACTAGCCGACATATCTCACTGAAAGACACGTCACGATCCGCATGTTAATTTACCTTTCTGTTGTCCAGTTTATTGTAAAATAAACTGAATCAGTAATTGATCTCTGTTGCAACATGATGTCCTGACTGAGGGACTTCCCTATTTTCTTCTCTCTCCATAGTTTTCTGTGAATATGTTCAGGACGTTGCCGCCATCATCCAACCCCACGGGGGCCGAGTTTGACCCAGAGGAAGATGAGCCCACGCTAGAGGCAGCGTGGCCACATCTACAGGTACACACACACACACACACACACACTCACACACTCTAACCTGATGAATAAATCCATACAGCTGTTAATTTCACGTGCCGTAACCTCGTCTCTTCTTTCCACAGCTGGTCTATGAATTCTTCCTGCGGTTCTTGGAGTCGCCTGACTTTCAACCAAACATAGCCAAAAAGTATATTGACCAGAAGTTTGTAATGCAGGTGAGCTCATAATGGTACATAGAGTGATCGCATCGTGTGTGTATTTTCATGATGCACGAGTGTTCTGTCTTTCAAAGATCTGTATGTGGTTCTTGGTATTTAGTGTCTCAGTAACCTTTTTTTTTTGTGCACAGCTCTTAGACCTGTTTGACAGTGAAGACCCCAGAGAAAGAGATTTTTTAAAGACCACTCTTCATCGCATCTATGGCAAGTTCCTGGGCCTGCGAGCGTACATTAGGAAACACATTAATAACATATTTTATAGGTGAGTGAGTCTTTAGGTTAGGCACATTAGTGACACTTTGTGCTGTAAGTAATGGAGCGTGTTTTGTTCAATGTGATTTATCACCATGCTGCTATTTTTCAGGTTCATTTATGAGACTGAACATCATAATGGAATAGCAGAATTACTGGAAATATTAGGCAGGTAAGAAACCTTTGAGAGGTGCATCCATAGAACTGTTGCCTTTGTCTGATCTCTTCAGTGTGTAGACGCCATCAGAGTGTTGAGTTGAACCCTAGCTCTTATTCTTCGTCTGCTCCCCGTTCTCTTCACAGCATAATCAACGGGTTCGCATTACCTTTGAAAGAAGAGCACAAGATATTCCTGCTGAAAGTTCTGCTGCCTTTGCACAAAGTCAAGTCTCTTAGTGTTTATCACCCACAGGTAACCACTTTGTCAGTCTTAAATAATGTGTTCATGCTTATGTCTGCTATAAAGACTTTATAATAATAATTATGATGTTTTATTTCTCCCTTAGCTGGCTTACTGTGTGGTCCAGTTCTTAGAGAAAGATAGCACCCTCACAGAACCGGTAAGATGTCATTTACAAATACAATGATACACAAAGATATACATAGCTATCTGTGCTTTCATTCCTCTAAATCTGTTTCTGTTGATGTTTTTTAAACGCTATCTCCTGGAGCTCTTTGTCATTCAGAGTATCCATATGTTCTTCTTCTTCTTCTTTACTAATGCTGCTGTCCCTGTCTTCAGACGGTCATGGCTTTGTTAAAGTACTGGCCCAAGACCCACAGTCCTAAAGAGGTGATGTTCCTCAATGAACTGGAGGAGATCCTGGACGTCATCGAGCCCTCAGAGTTCGTCAAAGTCATGGAGCCCCTCTTCAGACAGTTGGCCAAGTGTGTGTCCAGCCCGCACTTTCAGGTCTGACATTCACCCCAGCACACACATTAAGTGATTTTACTTCAGTTTGTCGTGCACAGGTAATCTGTCTGTCTGTCTACTCCAGTAACCCTGTTCTGAACTCATGTGGTCTCAGGTGGCAGAACGAGCTCTGTACTACTGGAACAACGAGTACATCATGAGCCTGATCAGTGACAACGCCGCCAAGATCCTGCCCATCATGTTCCCATCCCTCTACCGCAACTCCAAGACCCACTGGAACAAGTGAGTCCCTGAACCGGCTCTCCATCGAGTCCATCTCTCAGTCTCGCTGCCCGATTATCGTTTGTGGTAACACCAAAGGCCCTTGCACACCGGGGGCGGGACCAATACATACCATACCAATACAAAACAAATGCTCTGAGTGAGTTCCAGTTGAAAGGAGGGAATGGAGCTGGTATGCACTGCCTTTGTCAAGGTTGAAAGGAGCAATCGATGTTTTCCGTCTTGGTTCGGACCAAGCATCCTCCGTGTTGTTGTACATTATCGCGTACGCACAAATCGATTAGTTGGTTCCTTTATTCGCGATGCAAAAGCTCAGATAGGTCGCTCTAGCTCCCCTAAAAACCTACTATGTTTTTTTCGCTGCGTAATATTTGCGTTCCATGTGAAAGTACTATACTATAAGTTATATATATATTTTTTAATCTCATGAAAAAGGACCCCCCCGGTGTGTAAAGGCCTTCAGTACGTAAACACAGTGACCCGTGGTAATCCTTGTGTTTCTGCAGGACGATCCACGGGTTGATCTACAACGCTCTGAAACTCTTCATGGAGATGAACCAGAAGCTGTTTGATGACTGCACCCAGCAGTTCAGGGCAGAGAAAAGCAAGTAAGTCACAAGCCGAGACATCACATCTGAAGTTCTAGTGCCGCTACAAGCTCTCCTGACGTACTTTAGACACAACAGATTTGTGACCTCAGTGTATCATTCAGTACATTCTTCTTTTTGTGTCTCAGAGAGAAAGCCAAATGGAAAGAGAGAGAAGAAGCGTGGCTGAAGATTGAGAATCTTGCCAAGTCAAACCCACAGGTGTGCAAAGGAGCTAGTTAACCGTTGTTATCGAGTAATTAGGGTTGTGCCACATGTCTTCTTTTTTTTTTTTTTTTTTGTTGTGTACATTCAAAACTATTGAGATTTTTTTTTAATGAATTTTCAAATGTCAACAAAATCCTCAACTTGAATAAATGGTTAATCGATTAAATGAGTTGACCTTTCTTTAATGAATACAACATGGGGAAGCAGTTTTCATGACTTTGTGACTACAGTCTGTGACGTTCAGGATCGACGGTGCGCTGCTGCAGAATGAATAAAGGAAAAAAGTGACCAGTTTAGTTCTAACTCCTTTCATTGCGTTGGTCCTCCTCTCCCTGTACAGTTTCTGATCTACGTCGACTCGATATGCTCAGGCTGTCCGATGGACATGGAGACAGACGGGCCGCTGCTGGACGACGTCAACATGCTGAAGAAAGCAGTAGAGGAGGAAGCCACACAGGTAAGGAGGGTAGTGTAGCAGGGAATAGTACACTGGTCTTAGGTCTAACATTGCTTATTGCCAAAGTAAAATCATTGTGGCCCAATTTTGTATCTTTATATTTTAGTATTTCTATTCTGTCTCCATGTGTCCAGATCCTAAAAGATCAGCGTCGAGAGCGCCCGCTGATGAGGAGGAAATCGGAGCTCCCCAGGGACATCTGCACTGTCACCGCCTTGGAGTTGCACCGGAGGGCCGACGAAATGTTGACGACACACGACGGCCACTAAGAGACCACCCCCGGATCCACCGTAAACCAGCAGCAGCATCCACAGAGGAACCACATGCGCGCCCCCCCCCCCCCCCCCCCCCCCCCCCCCCCCCCCAGAGGCCAGCACAACAACAGACCTCTGGCCCAGCACAACACAGAATTGAACAGTCTCAGCTCCACCTGACGCAGGAAATGTCTAACGCCGCTCGTCTCAGCCTCGTTTAGGCTTTTCGGGACAAGCGGTGCCCCCCCCCCCCCAAACTCCCTCTTTTATCCGCCTGGTTGTCGGCCGGCAGATACGTCTGTGGTGCTGGACGGTCCCGCATGACCATGACATGAACTTCACCCGAGAGACTGTAGTGTCCTTTTTCTCTCTTTCCTCCCTCGTTTCTTCTTCTCCTCTCCACTCGTTGTGTTTTCGGGGTGCTGTGCTGCCCCCGTCTGGTCATTTCTCTCAGGTGTTCTGTGTGTGAGCGGTCTTCTCTTCTTGCCTCTTCTTCACGGATGTCCAGGTGCTTGTACAAATAATATGAGCCTTGTTCGTTTAAAAAACAAACAAAAAAAAACGCATCAGTTGATGAGAAAATGTCAGTTGTTTCTATATATATTTAATATTAATTATTATTCTCATAACAGTTCAACTAGACGGCTGTTTATATTTTATTTTTTCCTACATAGTATATTAGGAGCTCTTCCCAGAGTAAAATACACTTCTTATCTGTAGACCTGCTCGGTTTGGAGCTTTCTATTTCCCCCCCATTAGCTGTGAAGATTCATTGGTGGTTCTGTTAACCAGGACCGGGTCATGCGGGACTACAGTGGGTCTGGATTAACGGCAAACAGTGCGGGCCCGACAGAGCTCTAAGGTTCTTCATCCAACAGTTCTTTGCACTTGTGTAGAAGCTTACTTCTCATTCATTTAAAAAAACAAAAAACGCTCTTTTTTTAAATTGTGTCTGCAATAAGTGAACACGTGCTTGCGGTGCGTGTCGGTGGCTCAAACAATGGTCAGATAGTTTATTACGTGTTCGGATCCATTCGATTGGTTGTCCAGCGCCTGGGGGGGTTACATGAGGGGGGATTGTGAGGTTTATTTCTGGTCATTAGCATTCAGTACAAGTCGCTGTCATTCATGTGAGGCTCACGAGAGGTCACAGAGACATATAGTCGCTCGTGTGGGGTTCAACGCAACGCCGCTGTGTGCCGAGAGAAGTCAAACGGGAGCAGAAAACCGTCCTGATAGCGACCACTTTTTCTACTCTTCTCAAGCAAGACCCTTTTATTTATAAAAACACTCGGTAGAGACTAGACTGCTCCGTAGATGAGGTGTGTTTGGTTTGAGGAGGTCGAACATAAGCCTTTCTTTTCACAGTGCCTTTTATAGTCTAAGGGGATCAGCCGAGAATCGAGTAGGAGCATGAACTAAAATGCCCGATGAATTAAAAAAAAAAACAAATAATCGTACCATTAGTTTCCAAAAAAGACCCGATGCGTTCAAGTCCGTGCTCGGCACACCTACAGCCGCTCGGACTCCCTACACATGCCTTGTTGAAGCTACACGGAGAGGAGAAGCAGAGTGGTCGCCCCCAAGCCACTTCAGCGATGAAGCACTTCCTGATAAAACTTGAAAGAAAATAGAAACACAACTGAAGGGGAAAAAAACAAACAAACGAGTAAAGAATTGAAATCCGTGATGCTGTCTGTTGTTGGGCCGTTCAGAGCTGATCGCGACTTTTCCATTATGCTCCCCCACTGTCCCATTCATTGATTTGTACCATTGTTTGACACCCCCTCTGCCCAGACCTGCACACTGGCTGTAACCCCCCCTTCAGTAAAAACCTACTACCCTGCTCGGACATCTGTTTGATCTGCTTCTGGATGCGTGCGAGTTCTGTTGTATTCTTCCTTTGCCTGCAGAACCTCTCGCCGGTGTTTCAACCGAATGTGCAAATTGTAAATAATAGCGCAGCCAACCCTGTTCCGTTCATGTTTGTCCTGAAGAACAACATTCACCAAATGTCGTCCCCACTGCGGCGTGTCCGGCGGTGGTTCCATCCCCTCAGCCGGCCTACTGTGCCCCCTCTTGAGTGTCGGCGGTGCGGCTTGTGTCCCGCTGGTGACTGTTGTTCTCCTTGAAATGGCTTTAATGTCGGCTTCTTTGGAGCTCTCTTCATTTTACATGAGCCGTCTTCTTTGTTTCTTTGAAAAGAATGAAGTGTCCTTTTAGTACACGTCTCCTACTAAACGGCTTCATCTAATATTGTACATATAATGTACTTTTATTTTATGTTCTAACTATTATTAAATGGTAGGTTTCATACTTTGTACCAAACACCCCCGTGTACAGAATACAGAGGTTATTAGCAACAGTTGGTATGTGGCACAGACTTCAACACGTGACTATTTAGAAACCGTTTAGGATTTGGATAGTTTTTTATCTATTTGTAAACCGACATCTTTTCCGCATTTGTGTTTGTTTTTCACCTTCAGACGTGTGTTGAGACTCCACATACATGAGCTTTTTGTGTGTGCTTTTATCCAAATCTCCAGTGGTGTACATCTATCTATATACAGCAAATAAAGAGAACATGTGAGTTTTATATTTTCATCCTAAGAAAAAAAAAAAAAGACAAAGTTCTGCGAGTCGTCATTGTGTTTTTTCCTCTCCTGATGAACACCAGCTCACCTCTGGCTCTGGTTGTTTGATTTGTAATCTCTTTGATTCATTTAAATGGGAATGTAATCCTTTGCCGCCACCTGCTGGCCAGATGTGTTAAACATTCAACACCCTTCAAAGCCTGATGACGCTTATCCTCATAAATATGTCCGATCGCTGCGGCGTTCACTGAATCCTACTCAAAAGATGTACATCCAGTGTTTATGCATCTCTGTACAGTCAACATAGACTATGATTCTACCTCACAATGGAACCTTCAAATGACGGCAGTTTAAACAAACACGTAGCAGCTCATTGAGTTCATGCCTTAGGCCTACTGACGAAGTCTGACTGGCATTGGTATTCTGGTTTCATTCAGAAGTATGGAAGCCATAAACGCGCATCATTCAAACACCATTTTGAATATCGTCTTCTCCGACTCACCAGTTAAAGGAGTTGAACATTAATGTAGCAGCAAAGTATTTGCTATGTAAAGATATAGAGTAATGTCTGAGGTCATTTAGATATGTTTTTTCTTTATGTCTTCAACTCAAATGCATCAGTCATTGGCAGGAATTATTCATTTGTTTCCAGCAACCAAAGATCTAAGACTGAACACATTTCCGACACAATTTGGTGGTACTTCCTTTCTAATTTATAACATGTTTCTACTTAATCTGAATATATTCCAGTTAATCTTACTTCCATATACATACGTGGTAAATGTCCTTTAAATGTCCACACATGCATCCTTCCACTAACTTCACCAAGTCATCTCTGTCAGCTCAATCTCGCCCATTTGAATACAATTACTGCCGAATGATTTGACAGAAACATTTTAAGTGACGGGAGGAAACAACCTTTTGTTTTCTCGTGATAACAAAATGAATTATCTCGTTATCTTGAGCTTGTTTTCTCAAGATAAGGATGTTAAAAACAGATGTTTGAATGATGCCAGTTGGTGTTAGGGTACATAAGCAGTCATGTTTAAGCAGAATAACTTGAAGCACACTGCTCACTCTTCAGATGTTGCTAGGCGCTTGCCCTGATGCTCTCCAGACGGGCTTGTCTAAGGTCACTGAGGTTCCTCTATTCATTTGAAGACAACAGCGAGGTTTGGCCCCCCGCCAGCCCTCTTGTGTCTAGCACCCCTGCTGGGACCTGCACTGAACCCAGAACCTGTGGGGGATTCAGAAAAACAAATGGATTTCGCCATTAAAACACAAATAGCTGACGGTGACGACGACACAGTGGACGAGACGTTGCGACCCCTGACTTGTGAGCATCCTTCTCTGAACATTGTTGTGTAAAGTGCTGCATATCTGATCTGATGGATCCCCCCCCCCGCTGCTTTCCACAGATCCTATATTTCTCAGGGCCAAACATAAATTTACGACTAACTCTAAACGAGCAAACTATTGTGGCATCATAGCCTTTGTCTCTAAATGACTGCCCTAATGAGGATGCAGATTGTCTCCCACCAAAATATAAAAAACAATTTGCCTCATTATCAACACGTTGCACCCCAATTATCTAAGAGGAAATATTCTGCTGGATGGTACATCATTGAAAATCAAACTACATCAGTGTTTTCAGTGTGTGTGTGCGTGTCTCTCTCTCTCTCTCTCTCTCTCTCTCTCTCTCTCTCTCTCTGTTTCTCTCTCTCTCCCTCTCTCTCCCTGGTCTCAGATGAGGTCACTTGGGTTCATTGTTTTTCGGACCGCTGTGTTGTCGATCTTCACTTGGAAAACGTTGCGTTGCTTCTCTCTTCTTGTGATCAGATTTCCCCCCCCCCCCTGGTCGTTTGCAACCAACAAACGTCTTGTCACGACAGGGGATGTCAGAACCTATCGCCATGGAAACAGAGCTCAAAAGTTTGGAGCGTCGACCCCCATTGTGACTACATCCAATCAGATTTAAGGAAAAGCTTTCAACGCTGCACATTACTTTACTTCTGAATTGCAGTGTGGGTACATCTGTATGGACCTGATTCTGTGCCTGGGTCTGTGTGAGAGTGTAGGTGTGTGTGTGTGTGTGTGTGTGTGTGGAGGGGGTGGTGGTGTTTGTGAGGATTGGTAGCTAGGAAGTGACTCATCACACCACCCCAGGGGTTTGAGATCTGACTTAGCTTCGTAGTCTTGTATCCTTCCTCTTCTTCTTTCCTCACGCTGAAGCTCCGTAGCACCTGAAGTCCTCTCGAGCAAAGCGAGTCACGCCTTGCTCTTCAGCCAAGTCCCAGTTGCTTTGATGCTCGACTCTCGGGCTTCAAAAGTCCTCGGCATCAAAGCCGGGGGACTTGGGATCAGGCCCAGCAGCGGCCCAGCATCCTGCCTCACGCACACGAGACAGAGAGACATCCGGCTTTAACGAGGGTAGCTCGGTGCTTCCTTACATGGCGGGACAATGTTGGGGGAATTACACTTTAGGACAATTTTTTTTTTTTATAATCCCAAAGCCTGGTGAAAGTAGCTTTCTCAGAGGGATTAAAAGATAGAAGAAGTTGTACCAAATTACAAAAACATTTAATAAAGAGAGAAAATGGAAATGAAAATCCTACAAATTTCTAGGTAAAACTCTTTAAGTACAAACATTACCAAATCCTTCTGTCCGTGGCTAACAATGAACTAAACTACCAGTACACACACTGCTGAACACTGTATTATACGCAGTGTATTTGCTTGTGTAACATGACTGCTGCTTGTTTTTGAGTTTTTGAGTTTTAGAGCAAAATGACTGCAGACATGTCAAGATGAAGTAAATACAACTTTACAAAGCCCACTTTGGGGTCCCACATGTTCATATTTGTCGTCTGTCATTACATCTTGAACCAGAAGGCAGGATTTAGTTTCAGACACCTGCTTCGCTTTCTACGGGCGGCTTGAGGCTGACAACACAAAGCTTGAAGGAATAAAAGGTGAGAAGGGCAAAACCCAGAAGGCAGTATGAGTTGTGATGGACGACAGTGAATGCAGTACACTGCTCCTTCTGCTCACACCAGTACAAGCTGTTCCTGAAGCTGCTCACACCCTCGAAGGCTGCAGGATCCTTTTCCTATCACGACACAAAGGCCACAGAGAAGCTGGTACATGTTATAAACTGACTTATGCAGTTGCTACACGTTGAAAATAAATTTATGTTTTCCGGTGTCACGACCATGAACAAACGTTCCCACTCCATTTCTTCCAAAGCGAGGACAGACGATGACCCAGAGAATCCATTGGATTTAAGTTGGAGGCTGTCAACATCCTGCAAAGTCCAAAGAGAAACCTTACTTAAGGGGCAGTGTGTCAAAGCGTTTTTATATTCAGAGCAGAGTTTAAACATGATAATGATGCAGATGTACGGTGTTAACCTCCAGAGTATCTTGGTGACACTGTAGGATGAAAGTGCTCTTGAATCATAACCGCTGAACTTTCATGTACGGTGTGTTCTTGATTTTAGTGTAGGGCTTTCAGTTATGGTTCGTGAATCTTTGGAGCGTTGGTTGGACAAAGCATAACCTTGGGCTATGTACTCGGCATTTTTCACTATTTGTTTTTAAACGCTCATCTGGAGCTGGAGACGACAATGATCATTGCCTATTAATTTACGTGTGGATAAGTCTTTATGACTTTAAGACCAGTCCAGTTATCACCTGACCCTAAATGCCACTTCTGTCTGCCTGATCAGAAATATAAAAGCTGTGGAGTGTTGACATTGTTAGTCTGCTTTTCACAAAAACGTGTGCTTATATACGTGCACCACATGCATATGTGCATTTGAAAGAAAAAACTGTGGTAACCTCTTCAGCAGTAATCCTCCTGCCTGTCAGTCCGAGTCGCTCTTCCACTGCGACTGTCTGGAACACACACACACACACACAACCTTTATTATCTTCCAGTACCTGGGGTAGCTGGGGACAACCTCATTGTCTGAAGCCATGCAGACACATAAGCCTTCATCTGTACAAGGGACACAGGTAGCTGTC